TTTTTTTTTTTTTTTTTTTGTTTTGCCTTCCTAAATCGTCATCCACTGACTTCATGAGTGGGACTCACCTTCCCGTTGTCGGAAACTAGTTTAAGCTCTGATGCTTAAGCTCTGATGCTTAAACTCTGATTCTCACAATATTGTCATACATTGCTGATGTGTCTATTTCCAATGAAATAGTGTGATGAAACATCCTTTGATTACTCTACTTACATATGCACATCAAACGTTCTACAACATTTTTTCAATTGTTTTTAGAAAAAATTGAGATGTCTAAATTTTAGCTTTACAATCTGATATATAGAAAGATAACAAAATGTTGTATTGTATAAAAGATAAAGTACAGACAACATAAATAAAAGATTACTATATCTTTTAATTTTTTTTAACTCCTTGCCTGATGATCATTAAGAGATCACTTTATTTTTTTTCTATCTTGTTTTTCTTGACATCATCCCATCATTGTCATTTTTTTTTTTTTTTTGTTTATCAGTTTAGCTAGATTCACAATGGGAACTAGTCTGGTGATGAAGGACAGAGCCCAACATAAGTAAGTCAAACCATTTATGCAATTTCTGAGGTTCTGACCTAGGCTCAAATTTTGCTCCATAGAGTAGTAAGCTTTCACTTTCACAAGAAACCTTTTCACATTGATAATCCAACCATTAAATTTTTATGTCCAACCATTCAATATCAAAAACACATTTTAATAATAATTTTAATATTAAGTCAACTTATAATAAACCAATAAAATAAATTGTTTTGCTAACAGTTGAGAGATGAAGAACTACCAAAAGATGCTCAACAGTCAAATTGGTTTTCAGCCCCTTCTGCTTTACGTGTATATGGACAGTATCTTAATTTAGATAAAGACCATAATGGCATGCTTAGTAAGGAAGAATTATCAAGGTAAGAAGGCAGAAATTTTATTAACTTTAAAGAAATTTGTGTACAGGTTTGAAATTTAAAATAATGGAAACTTTTGAAAAATAAATAAAATCATATAGATATACTTCAAATTTCTAAGATGGTAACAGCATTATAATTTTAATTAATAAAATATAAGTAAAATATATTGTAAGTGATATGATTATATATCAAATAATAAATTATTTTATTTCCACTTTGGAAATAGTGGAAACTATAAATTGTTTTTTTATACTATTTTGTACTTTTGAAGAGTAACTTATATCATCAGAATCAATAAATTTTATACAAAAAAAAGACATAAATTAATAAAAATAGTTTGCAATTTACAAAATCCCAAAATAACAAAGATTTACAAATTTAATATCCATCAAAAACTTTTACACATTATGATGAATTAATGAGAGCCTTTTCTTTTTCAAATTCTTACTTTATCTAAATAAATTGCTAGCATTAACATCTTGGCTTTTTAATTGTCAGTATTTAAAAAATTTTTGACATATTTTTGTATAAGATTTTCAAGTTAAATAAAAATTTAATTATTCAATTAACATGTAGGATAGACTAGCAAATCCATTGTAGCATATATGTTAATGGATAACTTTTGCAGTGTTGATGTCAATGTTAATTTTAAATAAAAACAAAAAAATAATTCTAAACTAAAATATAGTTTGATTTAATATAAGGAATCAAATTTTATGAGAAACAGATGTTAACAGTCAACAATTTCTGTGATAATTACAGACAAGTTATTTATATTTTTATTTTAAAAATATTATTTTATTATCCTTAGATCTTTGATCATATATTAATTAATTTAATGTAATGTTTTTCAACTTGTGTCATGAAAGTGTATCACAAATATTTTTGGAATTTTGAATAAGCTCTGTTTTAAAATTTTATTTATCTTTCATCTTTTTTACTGCTGGCTAGCCAAAGGGAGAAGGTATTCACTAAAATGCCAATTGTTGCAAAATTTGCATCATCAGCATATCCCTTCACAAAAGTTGCATGAACTTATGCATATGCCAGTGTACCAACTCTTTGGGGCTTTATAAATGATATGGCTTACCAACTTTGAGACTTAAAGATTGATACTAGCTCTTCATGTATTGATTCAAATAGTCTTTTTATTTTTATAGAATATTTGTAAAATTGTGAGTTTTTGTCTTAGTAAATTTAACTTCCATATTATCAAAATTTTTTTAAATCAACCAAAATATATTTTAAATTGTGTGTTTTGCAGGATTCTTATTAAATTCACAGTGTGTCCTAATGCAAAAAGGTTGGGAAATACTGATTTAATATTAAACATACAACTTTTTTAATGTAATATTGCTGATAGGCATAATTTTTGTTTTTATACTACATAAAAGTTTTGTGAGTAATCCATTTAGTAATTATATCAACTTTTTTTTGGTAGCAATGTAAAGAATACTGAATTGATTCCTGATTGGCCCAGTAGTTTAATGTAAATATTGTAATTTGATATCCAGCTCACCAAAGCAAAAAAGCATCAGCTTGCATTCTGGCAATCTGTTTCATACTGTGTGAGGAATTTTTCAAGGATGAGTTGTCATGGATTTGTCAGACCTGATCTCTCATGATACAACTGCCCTGTTATGGATCTGGTCAAACTCATAATGGATTTGGAAAAAAGACCCTTTCAGTGACCAGGGTGGAAAAAGTTTAAAGATAAAAAATATTGTACTGGCTGGGCCATCATATTTTCCAATAAACTTAGTGCAAGTGGCTGTCTGATTAAAACTGTTTCAGCTTTTATATTTTCTCTTTTCATGTCTCAGTTGCCCTTCTGAGAACTGGGAAAAATCTAGTCTGAGGAAAAATATAACATTTTTTAGTCATTTTTATAATTATTGGAACTATAATTTTAAACTGTTTATTAGCATTTCTATACTGCTTTTTCAAACTTTGAATTTTTAATGATATTTATAAGATAAATGTTAAAATTAAGGATTTACCAAGTATTAAAGTTAACTGGGATTATATATAACATGTAATTAAAATTTTAAAAAGTTAATTCTTTCATAATTTGATTTAAGAAAACTTTAAATGAGAATGTGAAAAAATATCATTTATTGCCTAACCGCTCTAATATAAAAAGTAAGAGATTTAAAAGTTTTTAAGATTTATTAGTAACCCTTATTATCCTAAGAAAGTTAATAAAAGTACAGATTAAATTCCTTAAAAGTATAAATTATTAAAATGTTGAAAAATAATTACAAATTTTAAAGTTGATAAATTAATAAAATATAAAAAAATGATAAAATTAGTTTCAAAACATTAAAATAATTTCATTAAGATATAGTTTTAATATAGTTTGCATGTACTGGTATTAAAACAGCATCTAAACACTAAACTTTGTAAATGCTATTTATTGATAATATATTTTAGATTCATTCAATCAAAACACCAAAATTTTTGTAGAATGTATTTAAAATTTCAAATTAATTCTGATTCAAAAATCGTTCAGTTTTAATTCCTTAATAATTTTGTAATTATAAAATTTATAGTTTGTTTTTAAATATTTTCATATATTTATTGATAAATATTATATGCTTCCTTCAAATATTTCTTAATTTTAGATATGGTACAGGTACATTAACTAGTGTTTTTATTGAAAGAGTATTTCAAGAATGTCTTACATATGATGGTGAAATGGTAAATGCTTAAATTGTTTCTTAAACTATTATTTTAATTTTTTGCATTTGGTATTTAATACAGTAGAACCTCGAAAACTCGGCCTAATGTGGACCGAAGGGTGGCCGAGTTTGCGAAAATGCCGGGTTATCGGGAATGGGGTTAAAAAAGGATAAGTATGCGTGTTTCCTCAGAAAATAGTGTACTGTACTTGTATGTATTGTTAACTTGAGAATACAACAGAGAATAAACTGCCCAAATACCATTAAACAAAGGAAAAGTACGTCCTGTACGAAGGCATAGAGCCTTTACTACATGAAAATGAAAATTAATGAATACACTGTGTACAGTAATTTACCTGATAAGACAGACCTCAGAAAAATACTTTATGAGAGCTTTTATACTTTTATAAAGCTGTCTATAATTAAAATTAATTAACTAAGGATTTTTTTGCCCAGCCAGGGTGTGGACGAGTTATCCGGAGTGCCGGGTTATCGAGGGCCGAGTTTTCGAGGTTCTACTGTATTATAATTTTTATTAAATATATAAAATAAAAATTGGAGTTATAAATATCTCTGTTTTTAAACAATAGGATTACAAGACATATTTGGATTTTGTATTGGCATTAGAAAACAGAAAAGAACCTCAGTCTTTACAGTATTTTTTCCGAATATTGGATATAATAGGAAGAGGTTATTTGAATGTATTCAGTTTAAATTATTTCTTTAGGGTAAGTTAAAATATGAAAATATTTCAGATTAGAAATGTTTATTGTTTTGATATATTAAAATTATGTTTAAAGTAATGAAAATTAATTTATCTTTCAATTTTTGATATATTTTATCATTAAGCTCTAATTTTAAAAAATTGTAGACCTATAAATTCCCACTCCATCTGTCTGTCCTTTCTTAATTTCAAGAATGGAGTTAGATAGACGAAATCTAAGACCAGATATGGAAACCATAAGAGCAGCAGGCCCCAATTAACTACAGTCGACCCCCCCTATAAGATAGAGATACGTTCCATTCTCTAGGAATCCGCTTTCTTACGAATCCTTCCAATCACAACCCGACACGTATCAAGTTTACGGACTACGGCTGTTTGAAAGATTTTCTTCCATAAAATTAATCGATTCTAGACTAATCCGACTCAACATTTCCAAAATACGTATATTTTTTTGAAAATAATCCGTATAAACTACGTCATAAACAAAAAATTATAGGATTACTTACCGAGTGTGTACCGTTCGACAACGTAAGCATAAGCAATGACGAAAGTTTTCTGATAAGTTATTTTTCTGCGAAAAATTCGCTGAAGTTTGGAGACATCATTAATAGAAATAATTTTTATGGCCGTTAAATAAGAAATGTATAAAAATTTATCAATACATATTTTCTATCTTTTCTTTTATGAACTTATCGTTTTGGCAAATGAGCGGCTCACATACAGTTTACTTATGTGTGATGGTCGTAAAAGCGCGTCGAAATTACGACTAATTACGAAACTTTTACGTCGGAAAGTTTCGAAGATAGAATCGGGTCAAGAGGGTGTGTTAATGACAGAACCCAGATGGGACGAAAACTTTTTCCCGTATTGTAAAACAAACGCGATGCAATGATAAACAACGGGGGAATGTCGACATAAAGAAAGAGCTTTGTCGAGATACTCGCAACAAGTGTCGGGTCGAAGCAATCGAGAAAAAGGCGGTTTTAAGAACAAAAGGGGCATCTGTTAAGTCCGAACGCGGTGGGGGATAAATGGCCACAAGAACACCTGGTGGACCGTTTAAGTTAAAAGATATCAGGAAGAAGGGCCATAACGGAGAAAAATAAAAAGCCCCGTCATCATCTCTCCGACTTTTTCCCGATCCGGATCGGTCTCAAGTTTCGCCTAGAAACAGAAGAATGACCAATCGGGGTAAGGGAGAGGGTGAACGAAACCAATCAAAAGGGTGAGATTCGGGGAAAATCTTATAAAACTCCCGAATCTCAAGGACAAGGGAGAGATTCTCAACCGGACTTTCCTGTCAAGCCCGGGACACCAGTCAGCCCACGTTCACCGACATCAAAAGCTCCCACCAAAGCCGATCTAGATCGCATTGTTATTATCATTATGTAAGTTAACTTTATGTTAAAATTAAACGGCTTTTGTAAGACACTTGCCATCTTTGTCTACTGCCGCAACCACCCACATACGACTTGATCCTAGGTTTTCCTGACTCGCAATTAACGTATTGCCCCTAAAGTCGGCGACCTTACATATGCATAAACATACACTTATACAGATACTTGACAAAGATGTAAAATAAATATTTAATATGTAACAGTTAAGATATATTTTATTTCTCTTCAAAACAAACAAATATTGAAAATAAAGAACAAAACATTTTTAAATACAGTATAAGAAGCAGTTACACTTATTATTTTCGTAGTCTGAAAGGGTATCTTCTTATGTTCTCAACAATTCATTATTGTTACTTTCTAAATCTTTTACTTCAAAATATAGTGCTAAGCAATCTTTCAATTTTTTCTTAAATTCCTCAGAGCGCTTTGTTGATGGATCATTATTCGTTAAAAGGTTTTCTAAATTTTTTGCCAATTCTAATGCTTCATTTAAGATTTCTAAATTAAACTTTTGTTCTGGCTCACAGAAAATTTGTAATGAGTTTTCTTCACTGCTTGATTCGGACAACTCTGCTAATTGCATAAGTTCTTCTTCATCTAACTGTTGGTTAGTATTACAGTTAATTAATTCATTAACATCTTCCTCGTTCATGTCGACGAATCCTTCTCCACCTAAAGTGTGGGCAATATTTATTATACGATTTACTTCTGTTGTTACGGAAGTTAAACAATCTTCTCTAATAACAACTTCAGGCCATAATTTTCCCCAACAGGCATTCAGAGTCGAACATTTTAATTTCTTCACAGATAACGAAATAATTTCAATGCTATTTAAAATTGAAAAATCTTTCCACAAGTCCGTTACTGTAGAAGTATTTGGATTACAATCAACATTTTTAAAAATGTGTTCAAATGTGTGCTGTATATATAATGATTTAAATGATTTAATTATTCCCTGATCTTGTGGTTGTATGATTGATGTTGTATTGGGAGGTAAAAATATTAATTTAACAGTTGGATGATCTAAATCTATGTGTCCTGGCGCGTTATCAACCAGTAACAAAGCCTTGAAACTGATATTTTTTCTTTTTGAGTACTCTTCCACTTCCGGCACAAAGCAATTGTAAAACCAATCGCGAAATAAAATACCTGTTACCCATGCCTTTTTATTTGCTCGCCAGAAAACAGGAAGAGTTGATTTGTCAACTCCTTTCATTGCTCGTGGGTTTAATGAACGGTTAATTAACATGGGCTTTGTAACGTTATCTCCAGATGCGTTTGAACATAAAAGTAAAGTGATCCTATCCTTGGAAACCTTAAATCCTGAAGCAGACTTTTCATTTTTTGAGATGTAAGTGCGTCCGGGCATTTTCTTCCAAAATAACGCGGTTTCGTCGGCGTTATATACCTGATCTGCAGTGTAATTTCCATCTTCTACAATTTTGAGAAAATTCTCTCGGAATCTCTCGGCTGCTTCTATGTCTGCTGATGCGCTTTCTCCCACAATTTTGACATTGCGCAAGGAAAATCTATTTCTAAATCTGTTAAACCATCCTTTGCTGGCTTTAAATTCGTGTCGATGTGATTCATTAAAAGAAACGGATTCAAGCTCTTTTATATGCTGGTAAATCTTTGATGCCTTTTGCATTATCACAATACTATTCAAAGGAATATTCTTTGAAATGCAATCTTCTATCCATAACATCAAACACTTTTCCATTTTAGGCATTAAAGTGTCCTTTATACGAGCAGTTTTATTCAAACTTACTAAAGCTCCAGAGGAAATTCTAGCCCTTATTTTGTTTTCATTATCTTTTATTGTTCGAATTGTTGACCCGCTTAATTTTAAATCGTTAGCAATGACCATTACTTTCTCACCAGATTTTAACCGATCCAAAATTTTAAGTTTTTCTTCAAAGGATATACGTTTTCTGCTCTTAGAATTCTTCTCCATGGTAGAAGTCATGATGGCTAAAGACAAAATTTTAGATAACGTAAAAATTATAAAATTACAGTACTGTATTAGACTTACAGTACCTAATTTACATACTGACAGACGATAGTTAGCGTAAAAATCTCCGTAGCGTGGCGCCACGCTAGACGGCGGAAATTATATATTTAATTATAACAAAGTTACAATAAGTTAATATATAATTATATATACAGTACCTAATTTATATATAATTAATATATAATTATATGTACAGTACCTAATTTATATATAATTTATATAATACTGTCCAGACGATAGAAATCTCTCCGTAGTTGGCGCTACGGACGGCGGGAAAGTAGTTCGGCTGCCCGATGACGTTTGAGGTTTTTATAAGGAACTTTTACTATTTTTTACGGATACCGGTAGCAATTTTTTCGTAGTTTTATAGGAATCGTAACTATAGGGACCGTAATTATAGGGGGGTCGACTGTATATGTGAACTTCTGATGCAAACTGGGAGTCACATTATTTTAGTTCAAAAATTTTCCCCTGAAAGGAGTTGGACAGATGACCAGCATGACTTTATTTTGACAGGAAAAATGTGATGTACAGGGGCAAGACACTACTAATTTGAGGCATAGAGCATGTATTTTAAATTAAATAAATTAAAAATTACAGCTTGGCATTGTGATGATGTCATGATAAATATTTGCTCATTTTATAATTGAATTTTATTGGAACTTTTTTTAAATGCTTTTATTTTTTCTTGGAAAGGATTGTAATTATAATATAATTTAAGTTATATTTTATAAGTTGTTATAGTGATAATTAACTATTCCTCTAGTATTTAAATATTTTTACAAGATATCTATTTACAACAGCTTAGCTGATTTATCTAATATATTATGCATGATCAAACTTTGTAAAAACTTAGTTAGAAAAAAATATATCATATTATATTCTGATATTATTGTTTGAACTATTAAAAGTTTTAATCAGTGCAGTTACCAGACTAATTATCTGCTAAGATTGGGATTAGAAGTGGTCCAGATTTCTAGGTTTTTTGGTTTCTGGACATGAACTAAATATATACTTCAAATATAAAATAAAGAATAGAAAATTAAGTGTGTTTAACAGATACAAATGAATACACTTCTAAAGCAGAGATCTGTTTGATCATTATTAATCCTCTTAAAATATAGAATATGTATACTGTGATGTAATATTTAGGATAAAAATTAAATGAAGAAAAGTAAAGAACATAATGGAACTGGTGTTGTGCAATGCATATGCTATAGAAATCAAAATGAAGTGGCCATATGACAAACTACAGCTGTGCTACAGCTCACTAACTTTGAGCCCAGCAAGTTTTAAAAAAAATGTTTTATGATAATTCCATATTTCTGGAAGCTGGATAATTGATCTGTTACTGTACTAAAATGTTTTTAATTAAACATTAACAAATAAATTCTGCATTTAATACTATTAAAATGATGGTATTTTATATATGGATATGTATAGGCAATCCAGGATTTAATGACTCAACATGGACAAGAACCTGTTTCTTTTGAAGATGTTAAAGATGAAATATTTGATATGGTTAAACCTGAAGATCCTCTGAAAATTACTTTACAAGATTTGATTAATTGGTATGTTTAAGATTAAATTTTTAAATATTTAAAAAATGTTGAAAGTTTTTATCTGTTCTAATTTNATATTTTAAATATAAAAAATGTTTCAAACTTTTTTTTAACTTGCCATCCTTTTTTGCTGAACCTAAACAATCAGAATTAAATAATTCTGCCGTGCTACTCTATAATTCTTGTTCATCCTTATTGTAAAATCTATGCCTAATGTAGCATCTAAGATTATTTTTTGTAAAATCAGTCATCAAATGATCTTGCAAATGTTTTCATAATTCTTTAAGCTGCCTTTTTTTTTTGTTAGATTGCATTCTGATTGGATGAAAACAACTTATGAGAAGTCTTGAATGCAGATGCATATTTCAAAAAGACAAATATACATTTGCTGAGATTACCAAATATGTGTTAAGACTCAGACCCCATGATATGGATCTCATTTTATTCTTCAACTACTTATATTTATATAATAA